GGGACACACGGGGGGCACGGGCGGGACATGGCGGGGACACGGCGGTGCCGGTGCCACCCGGAGCGGAGCGCTGCCGGGGCGGGCACTGCCCCCGTGTGGCCGCGGGCGGAGGCGCAGGCGGGGCTGAGCGCGGTGGGAGCGGCAGCGACACGGACCGAGCCCCGCTCGGCTTCTGCACAGTCCGACAATCAGCTTACTGCTCATGGAAATACAGCTTCGAGAACAAACACACCCTTTACAGCAGCTGTTGCCTCAAAATACCTCTTGTGTCTATTTTTAAAAGTTCTTAAGAGTTTTCAATAAGGTAAAGATTTTTAAATCACTTTCATTGACAGCATTCCTTTTGCATGCCCAGGTAGGACTTCAGCCATTATTTTCATTTATTTATTACTAAAGTACTCAGGAAAACAATTGGAAAAAAAAAAAAAAACCAAACCAAAAAAACCTAGAAATACAGGATGGGTGTCAGGGGTATTTTTCTAGACAGAAAATGCATATAAAGTGGGAACTATGGGTTCAGTAGTGAAGCTACAACATTATCCCAGGAGGAGCTGCTCACTAGGGTAAGGTGGTGTACTACGCATTTAAAAATAAAATAACTTTTCCCTCAGGCAAACTCCTGGTCGCTATAGCTGCTTTTCAGTGGTTTTCCSTTGCAGCATCAGAATTGCTAATTGGTAAGATACAAGACATATTCTGATACTTGATTTTATACCGTACAATTCCTAAGTTTCCTGGAAATGTTTAAGGAAGGACTAAAAGAAATGTATAAACATAAATCCTCCTCTAAATACACAAAATGAGCTAGTTCACCCTGTATACAGACTTTTTCATKAAATTCCCAAATCTCCAAGCCCCAAAGAAATGAATAGAGCCATAAGAATAATATTTTTAATTAATATTAATACAGAAAAAGCACATAGTACATTCCTTTCCAGCAGCAGCTCATTCAGCTCTACCATTGGAACAAAAAAAAAAATTAAGGCTAGTTGAGGGCAACCTGATCCAATGGTTTGTTTCCCTATTGCCTTCTTGGAAACAGCCTTGTAAGTTTAAGAGACTATTTGTGCACAAAACATGGGATGTTTATTTAGCAAAACATCAAGAACAGATAAAAACATGCTTTGTTACAGTGGTAAAAATACACAGAGCTTTCAAGCTGCTTTTTACACCAGCTCAGTTTGGAAASCACACCACTCTGGTGTGCAGCACGGTGGTGCCTTGGTTTGTATGGAACAGGCAATTGTYAGGGATCATGGTGACCACGCTCAGCTACTCAGTGGAGTATAAAGTGCACGAGAAAAATCAGTGCATTGAAATGAACCATTTATGATCAAGAGCAATTCTTGTTACAGAGTACTTGCTTAAAATGGGAATCTCACAGGCTGTTCAGTACAACACATTACAGTTTTCAAGAGCACGGAATCAGTATCACAGATATTAGAAAGACTTTTACTGAACATAGATATTTTGTATTTTTTCATCCAATTATCTCCCCCACCCAAAGACAAGCCTACAATGTAAATTACAGTGGGTTTGGTTGGGGKTTTTTTTRAAGGAKTTTGTTTGAGTAATGTGTAAGGCATCACCTTCAACTAATACCTTTTCTCTATATTCAAAATAAATGACTATTTAGTGGCACAGTGATTTTCTCCATCCTGAATCCCTAGCTCTAAAAATGTTTAACAGACCAGGCAAGTTGTATGGGGTTAAGGTTTTTTCCCCAGTTACAAAAGTTTATGTCCTATGAAACTTTACATTTTTACTGGYTGTCTGGAACCATACTGTCTATGTATTTCCCTACCCACAGGTTAAGGCCATTGTTAGCAGTACTTATGAGCCAAACCATGAAGCGATGATCTAAGTGCCATTAATCTGGGGGGACATTTGCAAAAAAAAAAAAAAAAAAAAAAAAAAAAAAAAAAAAAAAAAAAAAAAAAAAAAAAAAAGAGAAAAGAATTGATTGGGTGGTTTCCAAATGCATTAAACAACATAAATGTTGGGTGCTTAGTCACTAGAATCTTTGGGCATTACAGTTAACAGCAGTAGATGCTTAAAATGCAGGCTTCAAAACAGCTTATTCAAATCCCCTACAAATATAGACTGAAGGCTAAAAAAAAAAACCCTTTCTTACCCTTGCATATAAGTTATTTTACAAGTTTCCTTTCACAGTGAAGTCACTTTCCTGTTTGTATACTTGTTTCTGAGAAAGGAACTAAAATTGGGGTTAGTTTCCATAACATTTCACTTATATTGCCAGATCACCTCAAATGCAGTGCAGTACAGCACACAGCAATACATTTTAAATTAGAAGAAGACTCCTTGATTGCCAACACTATTTTTTTTGCATGCTATAGAAGACACCTCTGCTCTCTTAACTGGTAAACAACARACTAATGCTGTAATCATACACTGCTTGCAGAACTATGTACCATTTTGCAATAATCTATAGTACAAAATACAGGCTGTAAAGCACTGCCTGCCTTTTTTCCAAACACAGTATTTGCCACCAAGAAGTGTGCACARTAAAGAACATTCCCTACATGTCCCACAGGAAGAATTCACACAACCTCCTTTCTCACTGAAAGGCCAGAAAATTGGAGGCAAGGAGCCAAGCAGTTTATTTACACCCATCTGTATTAATTCACTTCTGCTAATAGAGGATGTATCCTGAAAAACTGGATACTTTGCAGTTGTAAAAAAGAGGAGATTTGCTACAAGATTATTCACCTAGGAAACTTTAACRTGGCTGCCAATTCCAATTCTCTCCTCAGGCCATAGCAGGTCCAAGGCTGCTCTCCAAGTTGAGGCAGAAGAGGTTAACCATATGTAATGAGGCTGGGGGCTGGGAAAGATGACAGCAGTGCAAGGCATATGGAATAAATGCATTGGGAAAAGTCAAATAAATAAATCCAGGGCTTGGGAAGAGAAAGAATCCAGACATTCAGACTGGTCTCATTGGTACAGGTTTGTGCTTGGGCCTTTGCCTGCTCCTTGTTCAAGGGGATGCTGCTCACACCTCCATCCCTCATGGCAGGGGCTCATGGTGGTACTGAAGCAAAGGACAGTTTTGCCAAGGAGCAGACACTAGATAAATAAGGCAAGGGAAYATGAAAGCCTGGAGACTCTTTGAGGCAAAGTAACTCTTCCAATAACCTTGTTGCTCTTGCAAGATTAGAGCACACTTAGTGCAAAGGCTAACAGAACAATCAACCCCCCCTCAGCCCCTGCTTTACACAGGTTAGTCCTYTGAGCAGTTTCAACCCTCTCTCCACTACCCTTCTATAGTAGAGTGTGTCCCAAAAAAAAGTTCTAGGTTTTCCAAGAAAAACAAAGTAACCACATTTTCTACAATAAGGGATTAGTCTCCATTGCCTTTAAAACTGTGGCTATTTCAAAGTGGTTTTTCCTCTGTTATATTTTATCKTTTCCCACCTACAGACCTGATCCCAAAAAAGGACGTTTCCATATAAAACATCTTAAGAGTTGAAAATGTACAGTTGATATATGTGCAATTTGTACAAATGGATGTTACTGTATATATATARTTGAATGTTTGCTAGTCAGTGTAGACAGAAGTAGCTAAAAGGCAACTAAAACAACAGTATTTCATTGCAAACAGGAACCAACAGACTTCAAAGGATAGTATTTTTTACATTAACACAAGTTTTGCAGCTTTTCAAGTTAGTTTTCRTCAGGTACTTGGTGTACAGTAAAATTGATCTACCTTTATTTATAGTTTCATCTTTCCAGACAGAGATTTTTAGTATTATCTTTTCAATATTACTAATCCTGAAATGAAGACTCAGATGTATAGCATATTCCCAGGCAGTAGCTTAATGTACTGTAGAAAAGTCAGTTCTGTTTACCAAGGACTAGAATTCACTTCAGTAACATTCCCTGAGGCAATCCATGATTTTATTGTTTTGTCCTGGAATCATTTGTGTACAGTTGCTGTTCTGTTCCAGACTGCTTTGTTTCTTTAAAAATAGAAACTTAGAAAAAGACATCTGTTGACTTTCATTGCTAATTTTATATTTTAGCAATTATGCTTCCCCTTAATACCCTCTTCTTTTCCTCTCTTTCCCCTCCAACAATTGCAAGCTAACAACACAGCAAGTCTGTGTGCTTGATTTTCACACGACAGGGATTCAGATCTTTAAATAAACATTAATTTTTGGGACCGAACAGAATGTAGTAGGTAACAGAACATAATATGCAAAACTCTAAAAGTTACCTTACTAAGTTATTCTCTATTTGAGAGAGAATCTATGGTGCTAAAAAGATCAAGGGTGAGGAGACAGTRTGGGGGTAGAGAAACACATGAGAATCATCATCTGTCCACAGAAATGCACTGAGCTAGAACATTGTACCCTTACATTCTCAATGGAATAAGGAGATTTCTCCTGATATAATATCACCTTTAACATTTCAAACAAGCCTGTGTATCMTCAATGCACTTAAAGCTTTTAAGTTTTAGTAACTTAACTTTGTTTATAAAACAAACACACACAAGCACACTTCCTAGAGTGCAAAATGCTTAAATACTTCAGTTACAGAACTCCATATGTAGTTTTCGGAACAGTAAATCCTCTTGATGTCACAGTCAACTTCTTCCATTGCCAGCAACGGTTGCATTGAACTACCCAAACTGCAGCAAACCCCGGAGTGGGTAACTCTGTACTGTCTCTTCAGTTCTGCTGAGATCCTGGTTCACTTGTATAAACTCATCGTTGGACTTTGATACATGCACATGTAAGCATCACAAAGCAGTCTTCGTGCACAACCTTGGATTTTTCTAGAATCCAGTGAGTGCAGTTCTTCTAAAGACATCTTCAGGTATTCAGCAACTTCTGGACATGGAGTAACTTGTGGAATGTTAAAGCCATTCTGACCTCCTTTTAAAGCACAAGGAAAGAAGAAGAAACAGATTAGGAGAGCATCTATATATATTTGCTCTTTATAATGTACTTTTATTATGACAGCAACACCAGTTCTTGAAAATGCCTTCTAAAAACACCTAAATATGCCACACTGGACTGCTACAGGGTAAACATCCATGAAAAGTGTAGTGTTCAAGCAATCACAGTTAGTGTTAGAATATCTTGCAGTGTGTACCAACGAACCACACCCACACAAACACCACACAAAAACAGGGAGAACTCTGGTTTTCATTAACACTGAAAACTCTGTAYGACTTTAGGAGAGTGACATGAATAGATAAACCAGCTCAGATGCTACACAACTGGTAACAGCTGATGAATTTACAAACTATGTCTGTACCTCACTTGCAAGACTAAGGCAGGCTTTGCTCCTGGCCATTTCCACATAAAAATGAGCAAATTCAAACAATACAAGTATGGACATCCATGGCACCATTCCCAGCAGACTTTTTTAGCTTATGAAGAAAAGCTTAAGAAAAATATTTGCAATACAAAAAACCCTCCTAAGATCAGCAGGAGATATTTCCAGCATCTCATGTGATCGAAATTCCTGAAATAAAGTGGTTCTTTACAAATTTCAGTCATACATTCAAGCACTCTGAAACAAAGCTTGATTGTCTTCTGGTTGTTATAAGAAAGTGACTTTAATTCTGCAGCAGTTTCCTTTTTTAACAGGAGGCCAAGATTCTTCTCTCCCTGCCAAATCCCACTGTAACAGAGGGGTTTAAGAATACTTCATGCAAAAATTGTTACTATGAGTCTGACACTTCATCTATTACTGTATTTCTCAGGCATTAGAATTGTGAGTCCTTATTTAAACAGGATCTGTTTAAATAGAAGTATCTAAGAAAGCACCTTTTTTACTGACATTTGTATTATTACAGGGTAACAATTTCCCACTTTAAATTTAAAAGGGATTCAAAGGAATGGCAAGATGTTGCAATTTGTGACTATTTCCTTTATTCTAAAGACATCTATTGAAAGTAATTTAAGAAAATACAATAAAAATATTTGCATGCTAACTGATAATCATCTACATCCTGTTAAATACAAACTGAARGTACATTCCTGCAGTTGATTACTTAAAATTAATTCTCTCTGCCAAATTTGCAAAGCATACAAAAATGTGTAAGGAGTCCTGCTAGAAAACTTGTGCAGTTACTTCTGAACCATCTACTTACTAAGGTATCCAATTCAGGTGAAATTCAGATTATGCAAATCAGYAGCTGCTATGAAATCAATGTGCTGAGCTGAGTCAAGACTAATATCCCAGCATCAAATACATCAAGTTAAAYGATATTAATATCCCCACAACTTTAAGAAATAGTCACTGAACTTTAAAGTACATATAAAAATATAAGAGAAATAATGGAAGACGAAATGGAATGTTACCATCCCGATCTGCCATGCTGTCGAAGAAGAGCCAGGCGGAGTCGTCCCTGCCGTACTTGACAAAAGCTACGTAGTGGCTGGTTTCGATGCACAGAACTGCAAACAGCTCCATCTTCTGGGAGGGGATGCAGCCGTGCCGCCAGTCCCAGTCTGGCAGGTCCTTAGGAAGTGACAATGGATTGAATTTATGACTCTGTCTCTTGGGGTGAAGATGAACCTGCAATTGAAGTGGTATTTCAGGAAAGATTAAAAAAAAACCAATAGATTATTTGTTTCAGTGCAGACAAAAGTAAAAAGAGCATTACTGCTGTACACAGGATTAATGGCATTAGGGAAGGAACTGCAATAACAGTAGCTGACTAAACATTTATTTTTCCCTACCAGGGTAGTTCAACATTGCCCAAAAAATTCAAATCTAAGGTTAGAAGGGAGGTCAGGTTTAATGCAGCAGTTTTCTAATATGCTCAGATCTGAAAACAAGTCGTGACTGACTAGTTCATGCAATTACCAAACAGCAAAACTGAGCATTTGTGTCATGAATTTATAACTCTAACAATATAGCATGGACGTAACATTAGGATTTAAAGCACAACTACTTCTCCACTGTGTCCAGTCCTGGATTTGGCAGTTGTCATATTGATAAACACTCTGGAGAAGTTCCTGTCTGTCACCAAAGGAGACACTTTACTTGGTGGGTGGCAGCTACACTGATGCTGGTGAGGAAGTCTCACTGCACTCTTCTGCCTTTCAATTATCACAGCATAAAGCATTTGGGTTAAACCCATGAGAATAACAAAGACAAGCACTTACTTGTGTATTGCACGTTTTGCAGAACTGCTTGATTTTGCCAGCAGAAATTTCAGTGTCTTCATAGCATTCCCTGCACTCRTACATGGCGAGCCCTCCGCAGATTCGGCACTGCCTGGGAGCTGCATTTTCAAGAAAGGTATTAGTCTCCAGTCTAGGGAGGCTTTTTTTTTCAAGACAAAGAATATGAAAATGAAAGAGAACTATTACTTTAAATGGAGAAAGACACTACATTAAAAAAAATTAAAATGAGACTGCAGAAATTCAAAGCAGAAATGTACCCCTGTTTAACTTCTTCCCTTTGATGCAATGTATATTAAGAGAAAAATATTTACAGTGGCAAGTTGCAAAGCAAGATGATAAAAATCAAATTCATGAATGAGCAAAAACAGGCTTTTAAATCAAGTTAGCTCTCTGTCATCATATTAGTACAGCTAGCTTAGTCCCCACAAAAAAAAAAGGCATAAGCGGATGGGCAAGACAGCAAAAGAAAAGGCCATGGCAAATTCAAAGAGTATTAGTCTAATGAATTTTAGCAGTTTTATTAATTCTTATCTCAAATTTAAAACCTTCCTTAGGTAACRCAATGAAAAATTCAGTGGATGACCAGTGTCAGAAATTTAGGTCACAAAAAGAAGTGATAGAATTATGGCTGAAAAATGCACRATCACAACACGCCACAGGTGCATGTCCTAATCTCAGGTTCTCTTCTAGTTGGATGACCTAATGAATGGCCACATTAATGAACTGCTTGACTGCTAATAACTCATTTTAAAAACATTGTTCTGAAATAAGTTCAGTTGTACTGGTACTCAAGACTCAAACATAATCTAGGAATGTATTCTATACATTTAATTGACATGAGGGAAAAAAAAGCCTTCTAGCCAGTAAACTTTCATTTCTCCTCAGCCTGAGCATCTCACACTATCTTGGTAAATATCTAATAGAATAAAAATAACAAACCCACCAGAAGTACCAGCAGTACTTCCACTGTGTAAGTCACTCTCAACAGCTCCCCTTCATTACACARTGCATGTTATATACTTACTGTCTTCAAGTAAGTCTGTTATATTCAGTTCCAAGGATGGAAAAATTTTATTGAACATTTTGAAGTCTTTTCCAAACCGAGGCATCTGGATAATCAGGCAAGAGGGTGCCTAGGTAAAATGTCAGAATATAATGTAATGAACTTGAGATAAATCATTATCTAACTTTACAGACATTCTTCTAATGCTATAAATATATTCATGTTATTTAAACACACAGTCCATTGACAGAGGTATCTCAAAGTGTAAGTCCTTTATACAACTCACTGGCAATAGCTAAGAAATTTTCTTTTACTAATTCTTTTTCTAAATCACTTTGATCTGTTCAACTGAAAGATACATGTTATTAAGAGAACCTTAAATGTTTTTGCTATCCAGGGCACTGGATCACTGACACAATATTCCCATTTCCAACATGTCTGCATGTTTTYACACCAAATCCAACTTCTGTTCCATTGCTGAATGGACAGATATTTAGGTATCATCACTTTTAACAAGGCAACACCTGTCACCAACCTCTGCAAACTTCAAGTTGCTGTTGATGAATGACCATTCCARTAACTGCTGAATCGTTGGGACTCCAACTTTCTCATTTTTGTCCATAAAAATTTGATAGAAGTAACAGTCTTGTACTTTCTGACCTGCTGATCTAAAAACAGATACAAAAAAAAAAAAAACAAAACAGATTCTGAAGCTCCACTGTAACAATAACTGTATCTTATAAGGAAAATCTACAAAAAATAGTCTACAAAACATCCTCTCTGCATTGAAATATATTGTGGTTAAAAAAAAAAACAACAACCCAACCAAACAACAAAGCCTAACAATACATAGCCCTCTTCCCCCAACAACAAAGTGACAGGCAGTCAAATATTAASGTGGACTGATTATGGAAAAATTTAAAGAAACAAAATCAGTCTGAGTTTCAAAATGTTTAAAAACATATGCCTATGCATGACTGAACTACCAACTAAGAAATACTTCCTAAGCATCTGCATCAAAAACTCCAAGACAATAAAGCAGCTTTCATTGGAGAGACAATTAGGAATTTCAGTAATAAAATATCAAATRAAACAACAATAATTATCTTCAGTATGATGAGTTTAATGAAACATTTCCTCTAAATCAGGGAGATATTTACACTGCTTCCTGCAGTGGAAGTCTCACACAGATGGCTAATGTTGCCAGACTTGCTCTATAGTTAGCAGAGAACTCTCCACAAGGATAACCCAGATTCAAGGCTGTCCAGCTCTAATTGTTAAAACCCTAGGCAAACTCTGAGGCAGGTTATCACATCAACTGCCAATACAAACCATAGGAAGTAGTCTGGAGAAAAGTCTTCATCCTCACCAAGGAAAAAGAAGGGAAAAACACCCTTTCCACTAAACATGCATCCCTACCACAAACCAATTACCCCCTTCAAAAAACAAGGACCACAAAACCACAATGCCATTTTGTATGGATAGGGAGAGGGACATAAGATTAATCTAACAATTTAAGTAAGTTTTGAGGTCAGATGTTAAAAAATAGTCAAGTATTAAGTAGCAAAGTTTTCAGATAGTATTTCTGTCAAATAAAAATAAATCTGGTATATTTGGGTGGATATCTTCAGATGAGCAATTCCTCCTCCTCTGGAAGTACAAAAGGAAGGATATAGAAGACTGCTCAGATTGAAGAAATGGATTTTGCTACTACGGAGAAAAAGTATATAGGCACCAACTGGCCTCTACCAGCAAAAGAAAACAATTAGGTAGGAGCTGTTTCATCTCAGCATCAAAAGTTCCRGGATGGAATTCCAAGGAACTTTGATCAAATTTGTAGAAACTGTAAGCTCCTCCCATCCCAGCCAGCATTTCAGTTAATGTTGCYTTTTAGAGTACTCAGGTGTTGAGCAGACTCCAAGGGCATGATGCTCAGTGTTACCACTACTAAGAAGAAAGGAGACTTCTGAATTGCCCTTGAGAAGTTCAGGTATGTGCACAATTCACACAAACTCTGGYGCTCAAAGCTGAATGGTGGAATCTAAGTTTTGTTCTCTGTATGGCAGGGCATGACAAAACACTTGAAGRCCAAAGAAGAATGATTCACCTTATTTTCAACAGTGGCTCAACTCTTAGAATATGRTGAAATAAAATATTCAAAAATTCTTCTGGATCTGGAGGGAGGAAGAGAAAAAAGGTTTTGTTAGCATGCAAAAGCAGATATATTACTCAAGRCCCATTTAAAGTGAAAGTTCAAAAYTTTCATAGAAAAAAAAGTAATAGTTAATTTTTACAGCTTTATTAACAYAGTAAGATTATGACAAACTATGAAAAATTTCATGACAAACCASTATTTATTCTTTTAGTGTTAAATGGCCCTAATTTTAGTTAGAAGCTCAACAAAGCTTTCCATTAAAGATCAAAAACATACTCTGTATTTCAAAGGAATCACTTGGCACCACACAACTTTTCCAGGAGAAACAAAAGCTTTCAAAAGGAAGCAGTGAATGTGCAGAGAGCCAGTGAGGAGCAGCGACAGTAACACATAAAAATAACACAGTAGTCCAGAGTTAATCTAAACTAGAGACCGACATTCTAACCAAGAATGCAGCCAACAGCAGTTTCCCAGAGGGCTGTTCTCCCCCACCACAGTTTGCTGGTGCATTGCTCTCCCTGCCACTAATGAAGTAAATACTGCTTCCAGCATTCAGTATTTACTGAGAAGGTAATATTCTCCTGAATAAAAGCAAAACAGCTACATAATACAATGCTAATTCATCATTATATAGAGCAGAAGATCAAAAAGTTGGGAACTGATTTTTACAACACAAATTGAACATTTCTTAAAACACTCCATAACCATTGTAACAAATGTTGCAGTGCAAGTTTGTTCCTCAGGAATAAAGTGACATTTTGAAAGAGGACAAAAGCCCCAGCGTTATTACAGCCTTCTCCACTAACTGCTAGAAGGGAGTTACAGGGAATCATGAGGGAACTAAAAGAAATCCAGGCAGTGAGACTTTTACAGCAGAAATTCACCTAAGGTTCCTTACATACCCRAGGAAGCAGAAAAGACCTTTCTAGCAACCAGTGGTCACTCAGAACTCTGGCAGAGACATTACTGCTACAGAAAAATATTTGGATGTTTTATTTTGGTACAGTTATATAGCAAGGTCCCCCAGTTCCTTCATATTGGATTCTTGTAAATCTCAAAGAAAGGCAAACCTTCCCCGTTACCTTTTTCTTCTGAAGTGAATCCTGATGCAGCCTCAACTTTTTCAAGTATTTTCCTCAGTTTCATTATTTTTGTAGCACATACATAGCCATATCTAAGATAAATGGGTTTAATAAGCTATTAGCTAGTTTCTGATCAAGTCAGAGAAGTACAAACAAAACCAAAACCAAAACCAACCAACCACTTAAAATACTGAAATACAGGTTCGCAAATTCTTAACTGCATACAGTATTTCTTCAAAACTAATACTGATTTCTTATATTTTTAACCTGATTCCCAGTTTCCYTAGTGTAGTATAAATTGCATACAGTGCTCAATGTTCTTTTATAACCTTTAGAAGCATTTTTAATCATCAGCTTACCAGGATAACTGTTTTCGGATTTGTCAGGCAATTACTTTTGATTTGTTTTCACTCTAATTTGCACCGCTTAATACATCATTTCAGAATGTCACATAATAATAGCACTGTGGGAGTTGTTAACAGAAAAAAAATTGCACTATTTGAGAAAAAGACACAGATCTGTACTGCTGACCTAAGAAGCTGAGGCTTTGAGAATTCAGTCTTTCTTCTGAAGTTTTAAGCATGGTAAAAGGGAGCTAAGATGCTCAGCCAGCTGAGATTCCTGCCACTCAGTGTGTACCCTGCTATCCCAGCTACACCACAGGCCCCTGGAACACACCAGGCAAAGCACACACTCCCTGACAGGAATAGGGCTTCAGGGGCCAACATTTTATTCCAGGAATCAAAAATAAAGACTTGTCATAAATTGTTCTGTGACACCTCACAGAATTTTGGAACAACTGTACTATTCACACGTTTGAAAAAAATTAAGCCTAAGAACAGTAACTTTTCATGCAGATTTTTGTTGCATCTCCTTTGTTCATTGTACCTAAGAAATTACAAAGCTCATTTTAAGTTCTTTAAAAAAAAGCATTTTGGCCACTCGCAGACCACATGTAAAAAGTGAAAATGGAACTTCTAAAGCCCTGCTAGATCTATCAAATTGTGAAACTCCATATAACTCAAATAATTTTCTTGTCAAGTAAAACAGCATTAAAAACATGTAAATATGAATGCTGTGAACAAACATAACTTGTATTTATCAAAACTTTTGTAGTCGTACAAATTTTACAATAGCTTTGTGCTGATCCATTTGCAAGAAACTAGTGAAAATATTTTATCATCAAACAACGAATAACTATTCCAGTTGTCACTGCTTAAATTTGCCATGAAGAAAAATTAAAAATACTAAAAATACATTGAGTAGCAGCAGATAGCAAAACTTCTCAGATTTACAGTAAGAAATGCAAACACAGCAGGATCTCTCTAATTCATATTAGATTAGAGACCAGTTCTTGTTTYCACTTACATTCTCAGAGGATTCACAATCTCTGTCCGCAGCAGCTCCTGAGTCTCACTATAATATTCTACATCATTCATTTCTTTAGGTCTGAGTAGCACAGTATCCAAAACAGAGCTAAAAGAAAACAGGCTACAAAAAAAAAAAAAAAGGAAAAGGAAAGTTGTTTTGACCATTCAGATGCCCGACCAAGGTAAGACAAACCAAGCAAAGCCACAGAATTAAAGAACTAAACCAACTCAAAAAGAGGCAGTTATGGACAGGGGACACAGCTGAACTAAACAGTAAAGTCCACTCCAACCCAGTGTCCTTTCTGCAGCAAAGAAGAGAACCAATTGCCCAGGAAGGATTCTGCAAGGAAGCTGTAAGAGGCATTTCCCTCCCTCCACCCCCTGGCCTGTGCTCTCTTTATCCTTCAACCATTTACAGGCCAGGGACTCCCTCAATCTGAACAGGCAGATACATAAGGGCCAGTACAGTCTGGACATGATTAACACTTCATTGCTCACACTGGGACAGCACAGGGACATGTCAGACTGCAGCATGTGACACTGGGAGCTGCACAGGAATACACACAGATAGTCATTCAAGCAAAAATCACGTTCTGCATTTCTAGCATGGGATGCCACTATACAAATTATGAACTTACCAGAATAAGGTGGAGTCTAAGTAACAGGAGTTGTAATGACCCTGGATACCTTTCTTCTTTCCAATCATTGTCTCTAAACCTTCTTTTTCCATTTTTGGAGGAGTGTTTTCTTCTACCACTTCACTTAAGTAACCTCCAAAGGCTGAAATTTTTTTTTTCAAAAGACACTTTAAAGCCTCAAATTTTACCCCCCTTGAGATTTTCCTATTAATGTTTTAYAGCTAAGCTGCTGCCTTAGTGTAAGCATTCCTTCCCTGGACTAAAATAGCATTTTATTATAGCTGAGACTCACTGTCTTCCACAGAGTGAACAAGGCCTTACATTTCCACACTAGAGTGCTTCAGAAAGCCTGCAGCACTGAATTAATTTTAACCAGTAGGAATGAAGCTCTCTTTTCATTACAAATGCCCTGTTCKCACTATCTTACTTTATCATACAAGTATCAGACACTTTTCTTTGCAGTTGYCCCAGGCAATACAACATGACCCAAGAAATCTAAAATACTTCCAGTTAGGAAAAAACAAGTTTTCACCACTAACTTCCATCATTAAAAATACATGTTTTTCTGTGTTCATATTTAGAGAATAACTTGATGTTATACATTACAGAAAAATAACTGCCTTTATTTCTGATAATGCAATCATATATTGCTGGAGTTGCAAATATCATTTTCAGCAAGGTTGTTTTATAACTTCTGAAGTAAAAGTGTACWGCATAAAAAATCCCTTAATTTCAAGACATTTCTTTAAAACAAAAAAAGGTTCACATATTTAAAGCACAAAAGATTAATTCCAGAATCACTGTATTCTGTACAGGCAGATCTTCTATTCATTAATCTCAATTAAGTAATACCTGTACAGATTTTCATGTGTTCAATACAAAGATCTTATTGCAGAAATGAACGAAACTAAAGCCCTGGCCAGTTCCCAGCTGACAAACAAGAAAAAAGCAGAAGGTCAGTACCTAGAGAGTTGCAGCGCTCAATCTGGTTGGAAACAGGCTGCAGTGAGGCAAACCTGGAATCTGGCCTGCAGCTTTTGAGTTTAACAAAAAGAGCTTTCTTTGGAGCACAAGTGAAGTATCGAGTTCCTTTAAATGTCCCGTCCGTACAGCCTGCACATTCATCTTCCTGAAAATTCAAGTGAGAATTCACTGTTTTTCTTATTTTTACAATTCTGTAGTAACACATTTGATGAAGTATCTACCCACAAGTCACCCTTCTGGTATTCTGACACATACTCTTTCTGCAATTTAGTATACAAAGCCTCAACTGAGGTGTTGTTTGGATTTATTGGGAAAATTAAGAGTTKCAGCTTTCTTTCTTCATGCTTAAAATTTCACTCCATCCAAAATAAAACAAAAATTCCATCAGAAGTAGTGTGGGGAAGGTGGGAGGAGAGACTGTGAATTTAACCTAGTCCAGATTCCTTCTGTAGTTAGAGCACTTTTTACAACTTAATTAAAATCACTAAGCATAGGGTAGTGTGAACACTTCCAGTGTGAGTTGGCTGCACAACAAAAAACGCCCGCCTGCTTCAAAACACACGAAGTGTACATCAAAGACAACACAAATAAGGAGTGAACAACAAGCTGTTATCTATGAGAACAGCATTTAAGGTATATTGCCTGCTTGCTAACAACTGCTAGGCTTTAATTCAGAAATACATGAATGGCATCCAGGTTAACCCACGACACCCTAAGGAACAGTTTCAGAATGCTTGTAGCAAACTAAGGCTTCAACTTCACCCAAAACACCCACAAGGATCAGAATTCTTTTGTAACAACTGGAATTCCAGTCACAGTCTCACATACTTCGCTTGTGTTTTACATATTTTCACACTCTTATGTAAAATTTTATTGAACATTATGCCAAAATAAAGAACCCCATCTCCCTAATTGTGTACACATTAATTTAACAGACACCACAACCTCAGCAGCAGCTGCCACGGAGGAAATGTCAGTACACAACCGCAATTCATGTTTGAGGCAAGTGATTTTTTTTTTACAAAGGGCCTGCAGAAACACAAAGCACATGGCTGTCAAATCAACAATATCACTACTGTCAATTATCAAAACCAGTGTTACGGCTCTGACAGTCATCACTGTGACTGCCTGTTTGCTGATATGCAAAAAACAAACAAAAAACTATATTCAACAACAACTACTAAAAATAGAGAATTTTATATAAATTTCCATTTCAAAGGACCTTAAATTTCCTTTTACAATTAGTCTCCATCATGTAAGCAAAGGACACTCCTTTAAAGCAAGGAAATGATCAGTCCTACAAATTCCACTGCCCATTGTGTTACAAGGATATTTCAGAGCCTATTAACAGGGTAAGGTGTAGGGCAGTTCAAGAATCAGACCTCATCAAAGAATTTAGCTCTAAGGAGATCACATGGCAATCATTTTGGGCAAATCCCCCAGAATGGCTGCTTTTGCAGTATTATAGAGGCACCAGCCCTGAAAAAAACCCCTAGTAATTAGCATTAATATGAACTAGAATTTATATTTACCAGTTCCAGTCCTGCTAATACTTCATTTACTCCAGGGGGCTGGCCAATCCAGCGGATTACTCCATAGAAAGGAGGATTTTCTTTAACTTCAGCCAAGGAACCTGCTTCAAGACCATGTGAGTTCCCAATTGGGCTTGCTGTTGATGGACTCTCCTGGGTAGCTGTAGTATTCACATCACCCATGACTGACTGAACAGATAAAGAGAGAGGACTGTGTCCCATAGTACCATTAGGACTTGTTGTTTTTGTCAGGCTAAAAGGGAGGGAGTGAAATCTGTTTTCTGTAGACACAGAGTTTGTTAAAGGTGGCTGCAGTGGTGGTGAAGAATGCCCAAATCCAGAAGATGAATCAGTAAGTGATTTTGAAGGGTCTTCAGCAGCTGTTAAAGTCAAAACCAAGATGTTAGTAAGTGTTGGGGGTTTTTTTCCCTGAATTAAAAAATGAAAGATTTAGCTATCAAACCAGCCACTCTGATTTAACAGGTGGGAAGCACTAACAGCTGGGGACATTTAGGAAGACTTTTGTCACTTGGCAACACTGGATACACAGAACTGACTGAGCAGACGCTGCTGCAGTCCCACCACTTTTACCACAAGCAACAGAAACGAACAGCACAGAGAAAGGAGCTGTTAAGACATTACAGGAAGGTTTAGACTAAAATCTCTTTTTTCATCCTCACATGAGGCTTTCTTTSAACATGAGTTAACAGATCCAAGCATTATGACTCTAAGGGGCAAAATTAGGAAGAGCTCATTGGTCACTGTGACTGAAAAAATGATTTGGTTCACAGCTTAGAAATAATTGCTTGCAGATATGATTTGCAAATGGAAAAGCGCTTATTCCCTTCACTCTACCACAACATACTTTGGTTCTAATACAAGGAACCTATCAGTKTATGTAAAGAATAAAGGACTTAAATATGTCATGACCAATGCAGTGTCTGATAAAAGAGATCACAACTACATAGAACAGCACAAGCACTCTGTCTTCTCTCATCTCTCTACATAGTCACAGAATACCCTGAGTTGGAAGGGGCTCTAACAAACAGTTGGTATTCACAGAACAAAAGTCTCTTCATCTCCACCTATCCTCCCCATGCTGTTTCATTAACTGAATGTCTTAAAATGTCTTAAAATGTTTAAAAAAAGACATCAGTCATACAATAACAACAATTTTAACCCATTTTCTTCTGTGCTTCAAGGAATTCAGGGGCTACTGCTGCTAGAGGGTTCCATTGCAAATTAACATTATTAGTTTAGTATCTATATACCCCTCCAGTCACTAAGCCAGTTACCCACACTTTTATAAAGTTTACGTTTTTTTTAAAAAAAAACAAAGTCAGGAAAGCAAATCAAGATATATTGATCCTGTAAGTATGTGCACGCATACTTTTAAAAACCAATAAAAAGATTTTACAGAAATAACTTTAAACATACAGAAAAAAAAACCATGTACACTTAGATAATTTCCCCCTTCCCACTTCCAGACTGATTAGCTGGCATGGCAGAATATTACAGTTCCCATGGATCTGTAACATAAATGAGGAMGACAGGCAAAATACAATGACTCTGTATACTCGACTACAAGTAATATCTTCACATCTTCTAACCAAATCTCAGCTTTTATTCTGCCTGAAAGACATATACATTCCCACAGAGCTGCACATGAGTTGCCMAGCACATAATCTCCTACATGCAGAATAAAACCACAGGTCACACTAAGACAGAGTAAACTTTCACAGGGGTTTCAAAATGCTTTTTATGATATAGTATGTATTCCACTAAGGCAACACATTTCAACTGTTTGCATTTAATCTCATCCTTGTTTTATTTGAAGAACATAATACACTCTAGTTTTGATTTGTGGTTATTTCTAAATAAATATATATAAAATTATCTTCTCTCTTTACCTTCATCAATATACCATGGGGGTTTTGTTTTTGTTTGAGGCTGAGAGTCAACTGATGAGCCATTTAATGTGTAGAAAACTTCAGATCTGCTTCTATTCCCAGGTTCAGAGGTAGATCCTGGAAAACAACAATTTTTACTGAAGAGATTAAGCTCTATTTACAAAAGGTAACCTATATTATTATTTCATGGTAAAAATTGTTACTACACTTTCCAGAAGACACAAATGCCTTTCCGCAAAGGAGCAAACTCTTCCATCAAGAATAGCACATTTCTAAGCTTAAAACAAGGTAGAAGTCTATATCAAACCAATATAACACTCTAAGATGAAATTTCAGGTCACCAAGCTGAAAAGAAGGCAGAAAATATCTCTCAAGAGMAAATTTTTCATGGCTATAATATATAAGAAAGTATTTGCAAAACAGCTACAGCAAATGGGTTTTGGATTTAAAATTTCACCATAAGCAACAAAATTACTGATCCAATTCCAGTTCTATAACTTTAACTGTCTACCATCTTTACAATGATTAAATAAATTCATACTAAAACTCTACTTTGGAGAAATTTCACTTATAACTACAGTTGGACTTGATGATCTTCAAAGTCTCTGCCAACTCGGATAATTCTATGAACTTGGCACAAAACTAAAATAATAAACCAACTGACAAAAAAGGCAATACTTTTTTGCAAGCAACACAGCTTGCAAAAGAAAATCTTACATAAGAAAATCCCTTCCCATACATACCTATAGCCTTTGGCTTACTATGATTGAACAAGCTTTTGTCACCACTTCTTGAGGTATAGGCAAGTTTGGGAGGTCTCCTGTCCTGTGACACAGTCTCTAAGACATGGTACATGAAGAGAGTATTAGCTTCCCTTTTCTTTTTTCACTGTCACACAAAGTTCACCTTGAAATGTAACTGAACAAAAGTCTGCCATAAAGCTTTAAAACTGAGTGGAACAAGACCTTGCTTGGCACATAACCAACATTTTATGTGGATACAATTTGCTTTTATCACATCAGCAGTTGCTTACTCTGAACTCTACCACAACTTCCCCAACACATCAAATAGATTGACTTCACATCCTTCAACATATGTATGTATTTCYATTATGGGAAACAGATGTAAGAAATTCTAAGGTTTTTTTTCTACCAGCATATCTACAATAAATGCTCTTTTCAAAAAGTGGCGAAGTCCCCAGGAATTCTCCAAAGAGCAGAAAATTTGTGCAAAAATATGCATCTGAATTAAACTAGCAAGCAGGAGGTAGACATAAGAAAAGTTAGTCAAATCAAAGAGCAGGAGCAACATTTACAGACTACACAGTCATTAGAACCTGTCTAGTGATAGAGCCCAAACAAAAGTCTCATATAAACTATTCTTTCTTCAGAAAAGGCATCAGGAAACTGTAATTGTTACAAATTAACACTATTGAGTGAATTTTTCCAGTCTTGGCAGGCATTTCCAAGTATTTATTTACAGAATGCATACATAATACTGTCCACACCTTTCAAGCACAGAAAAAACAGCTTTCTGATCCAAGATATTTAAACTCCTGGAGTTTAGACACGCACTAGACACTCACATATGAATATTATACAACTGCATAGTATTGTAAATACTATACAATTTGATAGAAATTGTGCTCAATATTAAAGCTTTTCTACGAGTGACACCGTAACCCAAAGGAGGGCAAAACTGAAGACAAGTATAATACTAGGTTACACTAATTCAAATTAAGATATTAATTCTGCAGTATTGTTTTAATCATACACCTGTGCCTGGGTGGAGGATGTGCCAGATATTATCAAAGTCTGCCTTCTGGTTAGGAAAGCAGGGCATACCTGGAATAACATCATTGATATGCAAAAGAAGTGTACTTTCAACACTTGCAAAACTGCACAGCTGTATTCCATTATATCTTCCATCCCAGTTTCCAATCGGATTATCCTAAAAATAGAAAAACACATTACATGTATCTCAAAAGAAGATTTACATCATACAGAATACACACATACGTCTTTAGGAATTTAAAAAGTACAGAAATGGAAGATTTGATAACATCTACTTTTTCTCGTAACAAATTTTGCATTCAGAATAGGCAAACATTACAGTCTTTAAAGACAAAAGCTTATGAGAAATAGTTCCTACTTTAACAAGCATTTCTCTTCTAAAAAGCATTATTGATAAACAAGCTAGAACAAATCCAGTGCACTGTTATGGAACAGCTACTGCAACCAAGAAAATGGAAGCATCCAATCTAGAAAACCAGAAAAATCTTGAACTACCAAAAATTTAAAAGCTGTTTCATTTTTAAAAACTGATGTTGCCAGAAATAATTTTTAATGACAAGCTTCACATTTTCTTGAAAGATCAACTTTTGTACTTGAAACTCATACTTTCAAGGTAAAACAAATTCAAACAAAACAGTTACATGAAAAAAAAAGCTTTTTAAAGTGGCTAACAAAAGAAAAAGACATTTAGCTTACTTTTTTTTAACAGGCAGAACAAAGCCAGTCTCACGAGACGAACACTCAACTCTATGACTTCAAGACTGACACCTAACATGGCAAGTAGCTCAGTGGAGGCTCCTCARAGTAAGCAGAGTATTTCGCCTGAACTGTTTAGCATCAAATAGGACACCATTTACCTGATGCCAAGTAACAATTATCACCAAGGGGCATCTATGAACTCTGTTTATTTCCCATTTTAGGTCAGCCTCCRCTGAAGTAGCTTGTGGATAATGTTTCTTCTTCTAATTGCATGTCATTCACTAGCTAACACACATGCAGAAGTTATTAAAGTCAGATTATTTTCTTACCATGTCCACTCCAACAACGTATCCTAAACTCTCGTTTCCTGGTAAGACATCACAGAATATAACTGTCCCATACTCTATACTCTCTCCTATCTTCAGAGAAACCCTGGAGTTGATCTCCAGAGGAGGAAGTTCTACCTGCATTGCGTCAACTGGAGCTGCATAGTCACTTTCCAGTTCATTGTCATCATCTTCCATCAGCTCCAGTTTGTCCAAAGCAACAAAAACCCCACAATCCTCATCACATCTGAAAAGCTGCTTGCCTTGGTACTGTCCATCAGTAAAGCCCTGACCGCGACCTTCTTCCTAATTGTCGGAGGAGGAAGAGGAAGGAAAACAAAAGAAAAGATAAAAAACCAAACCATGTATTTTGTGAAAAAGCAGACTACTAAAAAAGCAGCAACATAATCCACCATTATGGAAAAACTGCACTAAGAATTTGCCAGATGAACGGTCATTATATCGAGAGAATTCTATTGTCAAAATCTGTGGTAAATACACAAACTGTCTATCTTAGGGAAATGAAGAGCAAGACATCATTAGATTAGAGAGTAGCTGCAGGCAGAAGCCTTTATACTCAGAGAAGCCTGTTTTCCTCAGGTGCAAATTTTGCTTCAATCATCAATTTTTTGCCAAAGCAAGACTACTTCAYACTAGACATAATGCTAAGCATTCAAAAATTCCACTTACATGCCAAATAAAGAGAGATGATTTTCAGAAACACTTGGGCCTTATATGCCCTAAGGTTCTCAGTGGGAATTGCAAAGAGTTCAGGRAAAGTTTAAAGAGTACTTTGAAAAATATGCTTCTACTACAAGATGAGAACTCTCCTGAACCTAATCCTTCAATAGGTTATGGTTGGCATGAATTTTGCACAAAGATCTCACAAGGAGCACATAACAGCTACRTTCTTTGTTTACAGCTACTAGTTGCCATTGCACTTCTAGGGATCTACAAAAATAGCWGCCCTAAAATCCAATCCTGCATTTATGGACTGTATCCTAACTCAGAAAAATTAAGTACTGAACAGAAATCTGAGAGTTAGATATTCACYATGATGGGGATGCAAGTATTTCTGCCCAGAGAAGTTGTGGATGCCCCATCCATGGTAGTGTTCAGGCCAGGATGGATGGAGCTCTGGGGAAGTCTGGTCTAGTGGAAGGTGTCCCTGCCCATAGAAAGGGGTTTGGGACTAGATGATATTAAGGCCTCTTCCAACCCAAACCATTCCACAGTTCTACGAATTAAATTTTTCTGGGCTAGAGGACTCAGAGTATGTTCAAGTCTTTCTGCCAGCTCATGCACCACATCAAGCTTCACTTAACAAGGAGATTACAAGGCTRATGTGACATGGCATGTTCACATAAAAGTATGTATGAGAAGACTGAAGGGAATGGTTTTTAGGGGTAACTAGTGCTTTGAGAAAAAAACGAATGATTAGGACTTCCTCTTTAAATTGAAGATTTATTTAGCTCACCTCATAAAGTATATCTGATACTACTCCCTAGCAAGTAACTTACCAGCAACTCTACTCCAAAGTATATCCCTGTTAGGGACCTTTCTTGCATTAAGGGTCCTCTGAAGCGAACAACTCCAGGATATTTCTCATCCCCTGCTCTCAGTTGTACTCTAACAGGTGAGCCAATATCTATCTGGACGCCTTTAGCTAATCTGCTTTTGCTTTTAAACAAACTGTATCTTTCCTCACAATTAGTAATAGCCAGAAGCAACTCAGCTAGTTTTTCATTTAATTCTATAACATCCTTCTCATCCACAAACAAGATTGCATGAGGTTGTTCCAGAATCTTTAATCCAATCTGCAGTTTCTTGCCTTTACATGGAATRTTTCTGGAGTGTGCCACAGAAGAACGGTCTTGAAAAAACTGCCCAATGCTACCTTTGGGCACTTTTAAGAGCTTCTGAGTCTGTTTGTCAATGACACTGCATTCTTGGAGAAGCAAGTAAAAGATCCGCTCTTCCCAATAGGATGAACTTGTTTTCTCTTGACTCCATAAGCCTGAATTCATTGTGATTAAAACTTTAAAAGCTGCACAGAAGTCTTCAAGAAAAATACGCTCTTGATTTATGTGCAGTGATCTTTTCAAATTCTACTGGAGGGTCCAATCTTTCTGAAACAATGCAATATTCATTTTGCAAAGAAACACATTCAGAGCAGGAAGCCTAGAATTAAAAAAAAAAAAAAAAAAAAAAAAAAAAAAAAACAAAAAAAAAAAAAAAAAAAAAAAAGAACAAAATTGAATTGGGTAAGAACAGCTAGTCTTAAGTAAAACATAAAACAATTTAAATCTGTGACCAGACATTCCTCATACAGATCAGAGTTCAGCAAAATCCAAGACAGTGACCAGAGTTCCAGAACAGCCACTGTACTGCTGAGAATGGACAGACCCATTTACCCATTTCTGCTCCTTATTGCGGTGTATTTCATTTCCTTCTCTAGTTCCTTGAAAAAAGAGGTTGTGGAAAACATGTAATGAAATGAAGAAAACAAAGAAAACACACATAAGTGAAARCAAAAAGAAAACTTAAGTGCAAATGAACATGAATAAACAACCTACTCTAGTTTACAAACARTATTTTAATGAAACTTTCCACTATAAAGCTCTTTTCCCATGCTTAGTGACTACTTAGTTCTGACAAAGTGTACTGCATCTGTCATCCCGCATAACATTTTGATTTAGTGAAGCAGAAAATTGTGTTGACAAAATGGAGCGGCAGAAAATAGGAACTTTAGTAACTTATAACAGCCATTTCTTTAAATAATAGAAATGGACAGTTCCAGTAATATACAATACATGAAAACCATGTGCCAACATTGCAGCATACACTTCTGCGAAGAAAATTAAGAGGTTCTTCTTTATCACTGTAGAAAGACAATTCACTTCTACAAAGTAAGAAATATCTCACTTTCAGGTGTTAAAACATCATGGAAGAAAACACCTTGGTTAAACAWCATCCTAAGAACTATAGTTCACAACCAATGAAGTGAAAAAGAACAAAGTGAAAACTTTGAGCATATGTGTCTATAGTTTTGATCATATTGGACACATGAAGAAAGATCTGCAGTACCTTAGGAGGATWTGTTCTTCTAAAGATGACAGCAAAGGGCAGTATACAAGTTCAGAATATATTATCATGTAAATTTTCCTGTTTGCAATCTGTGATACCACAGTTTGCATACAGTTAAAGGACAATATCCATGACTATTTATGGATTTAACTTCAGTAACCTAAAGGCAAATAATCTTTGTCCTTCTGCTAGGTACCCTATTTCTCCACTATTTTTCTCTGACAGCAAATACCAGAAAATCTCTTGCTATTTCTCCTAACCAGTTTGAATGCAGTTTCAGAAGCTATTGGAAAGCAATGAAAGCCAGTAATCCTGTAATTATTTCCATCAYCTTTTTAAACAGAAAGAGTATTTAACAAAACCTTTTCCCCAAAGAAAAGCAGTAACTACAGACAATCTGAAATTTAGGCAAAAAAAAATTTAGGCAAAGTCTCATCTTCCAGTCCCTAGGAATTCACACATTTCTGTGCTGCCTTGGTGAGTCCCTTGTACCATCCAGACATCCAAACCTGCTACTCATGTGCACAGATGTGACACGTGGGTGTCAATGTCATCACCACAGTTCCACACTGCTGTGCAGCCAACTCACACAGGTTCTGTGGTTCAATGTGTTTCCATCTGCAAAGTAATTCACATCTGAGAGGCAGGATCTAGACAGTTTCAGACCCCACTGAAGGAAAGGATGGTAAACCATCCATGTGTTTTCAACCTAAAACTTTTTCTTCGCTTTCATTTGATACAATAAATGGGTTTTAACATTTGTTGGAAGAAAAAAGTGGTGTGAGTATGGCATTGAAACAGTTTACRTGGAAACTGATGAAGAACACAGCAGGATTCCCCCCCTCCTGCCCCACATGGAAATATGATTAAATGACCATTAGTTTTTATAAGTCTACTCAGATGGTRAAATAAAGTTCTGACTAGTTGCCCTTACTTTTTTCACATAATGGGAAAGAAAACCGTCATGCTCGTCATAGTTCCATTTTATATTCTCATCTTTCAAAAACTGACGTATTTCACTTTCCTTTTTTTGAGCCATTCCACAGTTTCTCAATCCCTAATAGACTGTAAGCAAGTATCTCAGACGTTACAGGGATTCTGATCTTTCCTACTTCATTTAMAGAAATAACTCATTTTAATTTTAGCAAATATGCATGAAAATAATATAGTAAAACAGGAAGTTGGATCAACAGCTTAAAAAAGATTAATTGGAAGGTGCAATTAAAAATATGATTTATCCTATCTATTTTTAGTAAGTATCTCTTGTTTGCAGGTCCATTGCTGCAACAATACAACCTTAACATGTTTAGTAGTAAATAATTCAGTGTGAAAACATGGCAACAGCTGCATTTAGATTATGTAACAATAACTTTATGTGGTGTGTGGTCAGTCTTTCAAAGCCCTAGTCATTCACAGAGATGTTATTAAATCCACTTGACAAAGTACCAAAAGGCTTTACTTCAACAAAGAGTTCATTATCACTATATAAAAAATGCCTTCCTTTAAAAACTTATCTACAACCACTGTCCCTGACAAAGAAAATATACAGCTTTAAAAGCCCAATACCCTTCTTTAAGAATAATACAAGCAATAAACTAGTATTTTAAGAGCACAGAAAAGCTCGTTAAAAGGCCATTAACTTCTGGCAATATATCAAAAATACATTTACAAAGAACACTCATATTGTGATTTTTTTTTGCAGCCTTTTTCCATGGAATTCCATGAGTAAAGTAAAATCTTTGCTGAATGCACAGACTAGTATTATCAGACTATGACCAGAATAAACTATTAGACCTATTAACTATTACTGTTACATAATCACTGTATGATTAACTTGGGAGCCAAACAACTCATCCTGATCAAAAAGTCATCACTGCACTGCACAACACATCAGACACCACAAAAGTTTGTGCAAACCACCAACACAGACATTTAAGTGTCACAGCCTGTTCAGCTGCAACTTTCTATTCCATCTACTACCTGAATTTTTTCATGCTCAAACGACTTTGGGGAGAAATAGGCAAAACACAGTTATAACTGCACCACTACATAATTTGGAAGGAAAAAAACATTTTAAARATTGTCAGGGATAGGCCATAATAAGCTACCTTACTTCAAAGCCTCCCTAACTTCCTTCTTTATTCCTCTGTCGTGAGTCAGTGTTGTCACTACAGAGRCATCTCATCAGAATAACAGTTTGCTCTGAAATTCAAGAACTGTTTCTACCCTGCAGGAGTCTTAGATGAACTATATAGAGATATTTAAACCAGCTATCAGGTAACAGAATGAACACACGTCTGTGGCTCTGATTCAGAGTATAAAATGAAAAGGCTAAAATAAACTGTTCTGTTTCTTAAAGAAACTTCCACTTTAATACCAAAAATAATTTACCCCATCCATTTACCCCAGCTGAAATGCAAAGTTCTGTTCTTCAACAGCCCAAAATCAATTTTCATGGGAAGGTTAAAACTAGGAGAAAGAAAAATCAGCTGCAGCTCAACGTACACAGAATTACAGGAGGGCAATYTCAAGCTAGGTGTGGAAAAAAATAGAAACTGTTTCTCAAAGCAGTGGTGGAAAGAGTCTAACACAAGTTCATACTGGTAACATGATTCCTAAAAGAAAATGCACCTGCAGTTCTGTTAGAAGTTATAAATCYGATACAAATATTCCCGTGGAAGAAAGAACAGGAATCATTCGCAAGGGCCAGAAKGCTGTGGCGTTATGAGATTTGCCAATGCGGCCGCTCTGCAGCCAACTTTGGCCAGTCCTCCCCAAAAATGAAATGCGTGTGCTCAGATTCCGAAATTATACCTTATATCATATTTCATTTGGTTCTCTCACGGCGTGTCTCATGGCAAGACACATCCATGCTAGCTACACGGCTCCGCGCAAGGCTCAGCTTTAGAGAATAATTATCCCCCCCCACCAAATGTGAGCATCTTCTCTCCTTCCCGGCCGGCTCTACGCAGGACAGGGAAGGAAAGTCCCGTAACACTTCTTGAGTCGCCACCGCTTGCCCAGGGATTGAGGCTGAAGTGTCGGAAAGGCCCAGCAGGGCCCGCCAAGAGCGGAGCCACCGCCACTCGCGGCTCGGCCCCGCCGCTGGGCCCGGCWCCCCCMACACSGCAGGGGCGGCCAGGGCAGCCCGCGGCGACCGCCCACGGAACCGGCCGGAGCGCGGCCTGAGCAGGGAGCCGCGCCAGCCGCGCCCCTTCCCCACGGCGCCGAGCAACGTCCCGCCGCAGAGCCGGCCCCGCTCGCTGCTCACCTCCTCATGCCCGGCCGGGCTGGGCTGGGCTGGGCTGGGTCCGTCCCGCTGCCCTCACACGCCCCGCACGCCGGCCCGGCCCGCGCCGCGCTCCCCCATCGCCGCCACGGCCGCGCAGCGAGCGCCCGCACACCCGCGCCTGCTGCCCCGGCAGGCCCGCCCCCTCGGCCCTCCGCCGCGCCCGCAGCCAATCACAGCGCGCCAGCCGCACCGCTGCGCATCTCTATTGGCCAGAGGCGCCGCCAGTCACGAGGGGACTCGGGGGTTTCCAGCTCATCGCGGTTGTATGAACCGCAGGGGAGGGGGCGGATGCCGGAACGCTCCCCCTGGAGGGCGCTGATTGGTCGCAGAGGGCGAGGGGGCGGGGTTCCGGAGCTGCGGAGACGCTGATTGGATAGCGCGCGCGTGCCCCCGCGGCGGGGCGGTGCCGCGCTCCGGGCTCTGTGCCGGGCGCCATTCCCCGGTCCCGGCCCGGCCCTGCGCGGGGCTCCGCTGCCTGAGGGCTCCGAGTGACACTGAGAGCTCCGCTCTGCCGGGGCTCCGCTCCAGCCCGCCCCGACAAGGGACAAGCCCAGGTCCAGCGCCGTGTCGTGAGCCGGAGTCTCTGGTGGCTGTCCCCGGCGCGCGCAGTAGGAGGGGGCGGGAGGGAGCGGCTCCTCGGGAGGTGCCAGGGACGGCTCGGTGCGGTCACGAACCTGCCCGGGGCCACAGCTACTGACGGAGGGAATAATTCACCCTCCGTGTGCGGTTTGAGCCGTGCTGGTGCATGAGGTGCTGTGTGTCCCTGCACAGCCCTGACCTTTCCGCCGCTGAGCTCGGGGTGGTTCCCCGGASAAGCAGCGGCCGCAGACTCCCCACAGACTTCACGAATGTCAGGCTTCGGTCTGGCTTCAATACCCACTTTTGAAATATTTTTTTTTCTCCCAAGAAGTTGAAGTAATGCTACTGAATATTTCATTTAATAAAAGCCGAATGTAGCTCTTCTTTAACCGACCTACTTTTGATTGTGCATGTCATTTGAATGCTGCCCTGTTTCATCCACTGAGCATCACTGTTGTTTATAGATAGTGAGCTCTGCTTAAATTATGAATGAGAAAATGAACTCTGGAATAGAAGGGAGTTGCTCAACAGGACAGCTGTGTTTCAAGACTCTATTCACACATTCAGCATTTCCAAAAAAACATTTATTTTAGAGGAGATTTAATTAATGTAGTATTCTAAACTGGTGCTTTAAATTTCATTTTTAAAGTATTTCTGAAGTTTTGCACTTTTAGAAATCGACTTCCTACAAAGAAGCACCTTTTAAGGATACAGGATTTGATTCTGTACCTCGGGGTTACAGTAATATTGTCATAYAAATAAACACTTTCTGGGTTTCATAGCTTCTGTAGCATTTCTTTAACGTATGTTTTATGTCATTTAGCAACACATGCAGTTGGATATTAGCTAAAGTACAGGCWGTTCCAGTTAATCCCGTTCCCTGTAGCTCTTCAGATACCAGAGACAGTAAAGAGATCCAGTGCAGTCCCAAATGAAGGCTGGAGTGCCCATTTCTRAGCTCTGAAGCAATGTGAGTCACTACCAAGGCTTTTGCTGGGAAGATGGGAAGGCAGGGCACGGGTTTTATTTGTGTGAGTGTGTGCAAGATGGAAAGGACACAGACACCAGCAGGAGTCTTTTGGAAACTCCTGGGGAAACAATRAGATACCATCTACTACGGAATGAATGCTCACACTAATGATTCYACTTAGTCCTTAAAAGCAAAATTGCATTTCAAAGTCGCCTTTAATTTTTAAACAATAAATAGCATTGAAATATACTAAGATTAACGCCTTACATTTCCTCATTTTGCCGAAGAGCACACAGCAACCCCAAGTCATGCTCTGCTGCTCCTCAAGGTGGCTATCTRTACACAGCTGCTGCAGCCTCTGCCTGTAGAGCTGCTCTGTGCTACTGCAAACTGCATTAACGTGTCTGCTATAAATCYTGTTATCCCAAATTCCATTATGTTTACATTTTGGGTATAAATAAATCACATGTGGAACATGACTCTTAAGTACTAGCCAAAGTACACCATCATTACATGTGAGAAGGGGACAGACACATTATGAGCATAAAATATCAAACTACTTGATAGGAATGACTACATGTAGTGTTTCTAATAACTCACAACCAAATRTTTAAAAATACCCTGTATTCCACGTAATTATGTACTTAACCCTCTATGAATTCAGCAGGAAAAATGACCAGCACGGCCCATTTACAAAGCCTGTCATTCTGCAGACAGAACAGTGCTTGTGACATTTAACCCGAGTTAATATCCCATTGACCCACTGCGCTTGCACACAGCTCCGTGTCACTGACAGACCACGGATGAAAGGCAGGCCAAGACTGCTGTTTACTCTAGAGCTCCTTCATACTCTTTTAGAAGTATAAAGGATTTGTAAAGTGATAACAGGACTTTGGCAGTGTAAAATGGGCCTGTTAYGTCTCTTTTATGTTGAAAACCCTGTCAGTAACACCAGCACAAGACATTTGCCATTAAACAGCGAATGATTTCTTTAAACCACACTCTTGTTAAAAGAGACATGTTTTGTAATAATGAARTAATGTAAACAAATTCCACTTTCAAATGACACAGCACTGTACAATTAAATATTATAGCATAGCATGGAACAGAATATTGTGCTGTGCCAGGAAAGGAGTATGGTATTCATTTATCACAGCATTAACCCAAAAGTGCAGAATATTCATCAAACAGATGATTTTTTTCTGCTGATTCAAACATGGAAATGGTTGGTATTTATCCAGCAGTGTTTAAAAAAATAGAGAGGATAGATTCTTGTAGAAGCATCAAAGACARTATGACTGCACTTTCTAAAAATTAGTTATGTGATAGAAAGGGACTTGGATAAATATGTCAGGTATTTCTGCCTYCCCTTGTTTGTTTGGAGTTTTTTRTCATTATCTACTGTTCTAATGAATGATTTAGTTAAATAAATTATGTTTAGCTAAATAGTTRGGGGCTTGAGATGGAAAAGCAGCACAGACTATGAGGTTGCTTGGAGCTACATAAAAATAAAGATATTTGTTATGCATTCTGCTAGCAAACAACATGATGACCTGCAGTGGGTTTTGCATGGGCTAATCAAGTAGACATTTAGAAAAGTAAAATGCTGCCAGACTAACAACACTACGTCCCAGTGAAGGGTGAGGCACTGTTTGGACCAAACCTGAGCTCTGGGGTGCAGGATGAGGAGCAGCAAAACCTGCTGTGGGTATCACAGCTCCTGGGCATGAGGAACACCCTCAGGAACCAGCTGTGACCATAAYAGCTGATTCGACTGAGGCAGGCAGGATTCTTGTGGAACGCCCTTGATTTGTAAATATAAGAACACATTTCATTTCTTATAATCMGTTCAATTGTACTAGAACTTACTTATTCTGAAATAATTGGAAGTAGAGGTCACACTTTATATRCTGAAAAATTTACGTTTTTCTTTTCTTTTAGCTTTGTTGAGAACAGGACAATAGCACTAAGCATCACAAAATAATATATTGCTTTTTGGCAACATGTAAATTAATTGATTCAGAATTCAAAGTTTAGATACATCTGTAAACTGTCAGGATGAGTGAAATACACTGAAATCCCCCTTGGTTTTTGCTCACAATTGTAACCAAACCCATAAATCYAGCTTTAAAGGACTGAGAGTAGAGCCAGAAACCTATGCTTTGTCTACACTTAAAAGAGTTGGCTGGTACAGCTACACCTTAGAGCTGAATTGGCAAGCACAGATTTCTTTTYGGGTGTAACTTAAATCGCTTTCCTCATGGAATATGCTAAAGTGGCCGAAGGACTGTGCCAATATAACGGCATCTACTCCAGGGCTTTTGCCAGGGTGGCTGTAGCTGCATGCAAGGGATTTTTCATCATTCTGACAGCTATTTTGGCAAAACTCCTACATTTAGACAGAGTCCAAGTTAAAGTTTGCATTGTTTTATGCTGCACATAAAGCAGAAGAGAAGCATTACCAGTTTACGGCCCTRGTTTTACATTATTTTAAATTGTTTGTTTGAAAGGAATGTGTGGGGCAGGATCCATGTGGTCCTTTGGATGTTTGCCTCCCACATTTGTGCTGCATTAAAATTGCTTGGTTTTTCAGTGACTGAACTTTGGCAAAGGGGAAACTCACATTACTAAAAAAAGATAGTGTCCATATTATTTAGCCCAGAAATAGCTATCCTGATGGTTTAAAGCAAATTTCCAAACTGAAGCGGACTGCAAAAGGAAGCATCTGGGCCAAAGGACACGTGGATTATACATCATTCATCTTTTTTCCTCAGTTCAACAATGAATTTAAGCACGTATAGGATTAATTTTAGGCACACTCATAAGCCCATCTCAACTTTAGTAATCATGCCAGAAGTGATAATGCTCCTATTTGAATTTTAATTGAGCAGACATTTGAAACTAATCATATGTTCTGCACTGTGCAGAATCGAGATTTGTGTCAGAAGCTCAAGTTTACACAGAGCAAGGCTGTTTGTCGTGATAYCATCTGCATTTCCTTTCCTGAGCTGGATGTTAAGCCGGTATTTTAAATGCCCCAAAGGGCATTATTTTCCCACATAAGTACATTTTACATATTTGTCTCTTTYCCCCCCTAATCTCCCTTTTGCTCAGGGTGTTTTTTTGGCCTCAGGAAGCATGCAGCGCAGTTTGCAGGTTGTTTTGGGCTGTGTTGTGTTGGCTGTCCCTCTGTGCCCGAGGCGCGGGTCCGGAGCGGGCCCGGGGCTGGGGGAGGCACCGGCACAGTTCATGCGCAATGGCACGGGGAACGCTGATTTCATCGAGCCTTCTTCCTTCCTTTTTGTAAGACAATGTGCCTGCTACAAGGAGGCACAGACATCTTTTGTCTGCGTTTCGGAAAGGCGAGGCCGGAGCTCTCCGGTGCCACCCTGAAAGGACTGGAAGGACTGCGCGATTCCCAGGTGAGAGCTCCGGGCGCTCCGGGGTCTGGCGCTCCTTAAAACAGTGCAGGACTGGAGCAGCACTTACCCTGGAGCGGAAAAGCATGAGTGTCTGCTCACCATAAACTTGTGACATCTGTTGCAGGGGCTTTCTCTTTTTTCTCTCTTTTTTTCTCTCTTTTCTCTCTCTTTTTTCTATCTTTTCTCTCTCTCTTTTTCTCTCTTTTTTCTCTCTTCTTTAACTTTTTTTTTTTTAAGATGGAAAAATAAGTAGTAGCCTAATTAGAAGAGCTTGTGATTATTTTTAGCTGTGAAAATGAAACTGTTTACATGAAGTGCAGTTAGTATTCAAGGTACATATATTCAAGGCAGAAGATTTGTGTATCATAACATCTGCTTCTTCATTCTGTTTACAAGTGTGTTATGTATTTCTGGTAAACTATGTTTTAAAGTAGTATTTATATATGTATATATATGTATAGACACATATTAATGTACATAAATATATTATGTGTATGAAACTATGCACATATAAAGATTTTTCTCAATGTAAATACAGTTTTAAAATAAAGTTACCCAACTTACAACCAAGAAAAAAGTCACCTAAATTTGTTTGGCCATTTTCAGATTCCTAATTTAATCTACTATGTATGCTCTTGAGATAAACTGTTGTGATTTTCAAAAGACTAAGGATACTCAGTGGCTCAGTAAGTGGCTACTTTTCAAAAAGCAGATCAGAAGGAGGACTGAAGAACTGAAAGAACTTTCACTCCATGTCTGAAGTCCAAAAATAAGTGTTTCCCTGATGCTTTCATTAAGGAGGATGACCAGCATCTGTGTTCTTGCTTATGCAAGCCAGGCAAAGGAAAGGTTTCTGTTAGAGGAAAGTGGTTTGCACTTTCATTATTTCCAGTGGGGAAAGTAATTTATTTTCTTTTTTTTTTTTTTATAGCCTTGCAGCTTGCCAGAAATCAGTAAGTTTGCTGAAGGGATTTCCTCACCTCTGTATCCAGCATTGCATAACTGTGTGTGAGACAAGTGGAGGCAAAGTGATATGTAGCAACAACTCTGTCCTAAGCCCTCCCATTACTTAGCAACCACTRCTTGGACATTATTTTAGCAGAGTTTTTTGTAAAAAACTTTGTTCTGTTTGATTTTCATTCATTGACTGAGCTGTGAGCAACACTTTGCTCATGCTAAGTGAACACAGCACCTTGGAAAAGGTTTCAGGATGYTCTTAGAACTTTTTCAACTGCTCACATAACACAGTGGTGCAACAGGTAGGGTCTGTTTGTTTCATTTAAAAAACAAACAAACAAAACAGAACAAAACAAAAGCATCCTTAAATGTGGAGACATTTAGGCAGCAGAATGGCCAACCTGATCTATAGAGTAGGAGATTTTATCAGTACATGGTACATAGTTGTCCTAGCAGAACAGGTGTACAGTTCTAATATAGCACAGAATGCAGGGTAAAAGAACAAGTAAAAGTAGAATGCTTTTGTACAATAATTAGAAAATTCAGATCTCCTTCCACCAAGCCACTGTCAAATTCAATTGTTTTGTTTTCATGGTACAGAGACAAGTCTYTGGAGGGAACCTAAAACTGTGAAAKATGAATAAAACTTTATACTATTTTTTTATATCACCCTATTTTGCCCTACAGGTTGTGATTAAGAACAGACAACAAGTTTTTGAGTCTTGAGAACAGTAAATTCTAGCAGTGTAAGAGAACCAGGCTGCTGGTTGTACTAATTATCTCCRAGGTTTTAGTTCATCTGAACTCATACTTGCAAGCTTGAGGGCAAAATACAAGGAGGAAGAAATCTGCCCACACTGAAGTTCATGACAGAATTCTCTTAGGTAAGAGYTGAGTTCCCCATCTAATCTTATTCAACGTAACTTCTTCTGGTTTTCTTGTTTGATTTTAAACTGCCAGAAAAACATCCAAACACTTTCAGTGGTAACAGTAATAGGGATGGTTCTGCACTATGTAGATATTTATATTTATTACTTTAGTATTTATGAAGTTGTGATGATATAAGCTCGCAGAGAACAATGAGTAAGTAATAAAAAAAATTACCAAACTGGAATCCCTAAAGACATGGTAGTAACAAATGTCATGGGGTTTGTAATCTTTCAATGATAGCAAGCAATGGACCAAGGTTCACCCTGCACAGCAGAACGGGAACTGTTGGAAGCTGTGAGCAGAATTACTACAACTTCTACCACAAGTCCATCTGATGAAGAAGAAAATCAACCCAAAGCTGAAATTTCACGTCAAGTGMGAAAAGAAAACCCAGAAAAAGATGAGATGCAAGGTTAATGCTATCCTTTAATTTTATTTTTCATCTAGTTGTTTTTGCCATTAATCTTTTGTATGGAAATTTTTGCTTATTTATCGCTGCAGTAGTTCAAGGTTGTACTGCCATACTCTGCTGAAAATAAGCCTTGATTACAGGTGTAGTAATAAAATGTGGCAATGGTGAAACCAGTGCTTACCCTCTGTGCATATACACACAGAGTTTTCCTTTCAAATGCTTCATGCCTAAAATGWATTTATTACAGCTTTAATTCACACACCAGAATGAATGCAGTGATCATCAGAGGGCCTGTCTAGGGAGCACACTTTCTGTGCATCTCAAAATCTGAACTTCTCAGCAGTATCAGCAAGGACACCAAACTGAAGCTAATCTCAAGCAGGAAGCTCTCACATGCCTTTAAAGAGGAGCACTGAACCTTTACTATGCCTAAGATTGCTCTCATCTGTTATTAAATAAAATGTTGTGTATAATCCAAAATATATATAATCTCATCAAGATTTTAAGCCTGGAAGGATGTCATAAAAACCACTTCTCCTAGGAAATAGATGCTTTGTAGGGATTGAGCCAAACCCCCAAGGCCTTGATAATTGAAACTGTATGGTCAAATGATTGAGACCATGTAAAAGGGGGGGCCACTGAAGGAGTACAGTGGTGCCTTTACAAGTCTGTTTCTGCATCAAACTGTTCTCTTGCCCTTCATTTGTGCTCATTCACCTCCCTTGGCAGAACGTTAGATACACTGCAGACTGACTTTAGCTGCCTGCCTTGACATTGATTAGAAACTGGGATTGGTGTGCMGCTGAAATACAAACATTCCATTCCTTTTATCCACTTTGCTAGCCTAGATGCCACCTGATGAAATCTATGGTCAGTAAGTTTCAAAGACAGAGAAATTGCCTTTTTGAAATGCTGCATCAAATTCTCCTGTAAGCAAACTGTTCAACCAGCTATCCCATGTTTTTATATATACATAAATATGTGTGTGATGGTGGGAAGAGAGAGGGGAAAGATGGGAGGTATATAAAATATTTGTAGCTGAACTGTGCCATCAGCTCAGCTACAAATAAAAGAGAGGATGTGAGAATTCCTCCTTTGATTGAGCTGGCTACCCAACTCTGAGGTTAGGATATTCATGTTTTGTCAGCTTTCTCCTATTATTCAAATACTCCTACTATTCAAATCCACAAACCCTGGATTTGAATAGGGTCAGTTTTTTAATATATGTCTGAATTTGCAGCTGCATTGTATTATCTCCTCTTCTCATTTAGCAGCAGAGCCTGGAGAAACATCTGACTCAAAAGACTCAGTCAGTGTTTCTTAAGGCTATTTCTGGGATGGTGAAGCAAATCTCCTGCTCAGATTGTGCTCTAGGTTACAGCCTTGGCATACAATATTTCTTGGCAGTATTTTTTCTACCATTTTGTATTCTGCAGATGATATATGGTCTTTCAAAATTTCAGACCCTAATAGTTTTCCTCAAAGCATCTGCTCCTGTCTTTATTAGCAGTGAAATCACTTATTTTATCAGTCTTTAGGTCTTGCTGTTACAGCAACAGAAAATCTAGGTTGTTCTTTCACAAAAAAGAATAAGAATTTTCTTCCCAAATTCACAGAATATAATCTGAAATACTAAATATATTGGTTTTAGATTCCAGTGCAACCCTAAGTCCCAACTCTTCAATGACCACTAAGGAACTTCAGGAATACTGGAAGAATGAAAAACGCCAGTGCAAACAAGTCAAACTCCTTTTTGAAATCCCKTCAGCCAGAATTGTAGAGCACCGCTTATCTAAATACGTGGTAAGCTAAGAAATGAATATGTAAGAAGGTCATTAATTTCTATCCACTCTGCAGGGGTCTGCAGTGCACACAGCAGGTCTCACTACATGAAAGCCTTACCGAGGGCCAAGCTTTGCAAGCCACGATCACRCTGAGTAGAGCCTCTTCTCACTGATTGTGTGGGCATAGCTGGGGGAATCTGCCTCTAAAAAACACTCTGACAGACAGTTCACAAAATCTGCTGCAGTGGAAAGTTGATATCAAATAAATGAGTATCCCGAGTATCCTTAAAACCCAGAGTTTTGTCAACATTAAGGAAATTCACACAAATATAAAAATATCTGTRTATTTACGCTTCCACTGAGCTAGCCGGCTGCAGCAGCTGTGGTGCATTTGTAAAACTTCCACATCAGAGGTTTCTCTTAGCACAAGTGCAAAATTCTTTGATGTTGACAAAGTCTAAGACATCCTCCAGCTAGATCACTTGGGATTGTTCYCCTTCCCTACTTGGAGCTCCCTTAGGTGGCATGTTTCTGTCATATTTTTAAGATGAAACATGAGCATGAGGAGTGGGAATAACCAAGTAGGTTGGATTTTTGTATCTTTACTCATAGTACTCAGCCACAGTTTTTGTTTCTGATTCTGCTCCTGGCCTTCAGAAGGACTGATTGAGAGCAAGTCCCTTTTGGTACTCCAGTGAAATTCAGAGGGGGATTATTTCCTTGTTTGCTACAGTCTGTGAGATCTGTAGGTGAAAAATGCCAAGAATCAGCATTGCTGATACTGGGTGATCCAGTTTGGTAGAATTTGAAGCAGGTAAATGTTTTGAAGAGTGTCCTATGACCTCATTGCATGCTGTACACACCTATTTAGTTGCTGCTTTTCTTACATACACTCTGGAGTATCCAGCTTGCTGAAGAGTTAGGAATTGATTTTGTGTAACTGTATGAAAATGAGGGTATCATCCAGCATATGTGCAATTAAACTCAGCCATAAGTTACATGCCTAAGCAAAAAGATTTACATTACAACAGAMTTGAGCCAATTTAAATGACAATCTAATTAAATGCTATTTCTTACCTTTTTCATGCACACTCTGCACATAAAAAAACCAAGTACTTGTAAATTATTCACTTAGCTGCCCCTGATAAAATGATAGCTTAGAAAAATTGCTCTTATGATTGTTTTAGAATGCATCAGGCACATATACACTTTTCAGCAGGGAGCAGGACAAAGTATAGGAAAATGTCACAGTGCTTACAAATGAAAAGAGATCAGAGAAGTCAGCTCAAATTTAGAAAGCTTTCAAGAAGTGCCTGTAAAGATCATTTATGAAGATTAAAAGAGAGAATTTCTCTTTAAGGTAAAACAAGGAAGGGAATCAGACAGGCATAATGCAAGTGCTGCTTTGCAGCCTTCAACAGCAGCGAAGAAGATAATTGGCATGAGTAAACCACTCCAGCTGCTGTGTAATCAACAGGAAAGGGTGAAGCTGAATGTGAACATGGTCATCATCCAAGAGGTCAGCAGTCCCTGTCCTTAGCTGGTGTCTGGCATTAAACTGGCCTCCATGGTGTGCACACGTTGGGGATTTCGCCCTTCCTCAACACAACTGTGCTTGGATCAGAACCCAAAGAGATTATTTTTACAACATACAGCACAGAATTTTGATTTTCAGCTCTTTGCCTARTATCACATTTCTTGTAGTCCTTTTGAGGCTGGTGAAGAGCTGAGGAAGACATGCTCTTGAGTACTGTTAGTGCTGGCAGCACAGATGTTAGCTGCTACTGCAGGGTTTGGGATAGCAAACAGATTGCTATAGAAATGTCACTTTTTGTATTATTTAAATGCATAGTAAGTTTGAATACAGGACAATGATTTAGAGGGGGAAAAGGATTTGGATTTGCTCCATCTTATTTTGGCACAGACCAAATGTCTTGCCAAATACTCCCTCTTCTTTCACAGCAGTACTAACACCCCCAAATCCCTAGGAATGTCTTATACAAAGAACACTTCTGAATATTATGACCAATGTAAAATAGATTACAYTCAATATTAAGTCTGGGAAATCCATTCAGTTCACTGCAGATGATTGATTGCAGCAGCCATGGCTGTTATAAACAAAGTCCAGCCACAGAAATGCTTTGTAAGTGTTTTTGTGTGCTTCAGTCTGCTGCTGGTTTGCTCTCCCAGCCCCTTGCAGGATGGGATCTGTTAGTGCACCGTTTACATACARCTTATTTATGTGCTAAGCCTGAGTCTGGTGACAAAAGTACAGACCAGCAGGAGGTGGGAATGTTTAATTTGATGGCTGCAGGTCTTTCAGGTCTACACTGATCACAGACAGTAACTGAGTTAGCAGCACTGCCGTAGGAGTACACGAGATTACACACAGAAAATTGGTGCAGGAGCGTTTCGGCCGGAGGATTGTACAAACACAATTTTTCAAAGCAGTACCAGACAAAATCTGAATGTACTGGGGCTAGAATGATCTTTCTCATGCTTATTTTTTTTCTCTTTGATTGTGTTTAGATGTATAAAATCATCATTTTGCAGACAGGGAGTTTTGACAGCAACAAGTCTATAATTGAACGGCGTTATTCAGATTTTGAGAAACTGCACAGAAATCTGCTGGAGGAATTTAGTGAAGAAATGGAAGATGTAAGCTTTCCCAAAAAAACCCTAACAGGCAACTTCACAGAAGAAACAATCAATGAAAGAAAATTAGCCTTCAAGGACTACCTGAGACTTCTATATTCCATGAAATACATCAGAAGATCAAAAAAATTTATCGACTTTTTAACGAGGCCRGAGCTTCAGGAAGCATATGGTTGCCTGCGGGGTGGCCAGTACACCAAAGCTTTGGAAATCCTGTTAGAAGTCATTGGGCTGCAGGAAAGGCTGACGAGAGGCAACCCTGTCTCGATTGTCCCCACTCTCTGTGCCATTGTGGTGTGCCACAAGGACCTGGAAAAGCCAGACAGTGCCTTTGAGTATGGAGAAAAGGCTCTGTCACGCCTCCGTGTGCACACCAGCCACAGGTATTACATCCCGCTGTTAGAAACTATGATCACCCTGGCATATGAGCTCGGCAAGGATTTTCTGTCTTTGCAAGAAAAAYTGGAAGAATGGAAGACAAAGAAAGACCCCATACGGGTTTTTACCTTGAAGGAACTTGCAGTTCGGGAGTATGTTCAATGAACACAAAAACATTTAATGAAAGCAAACTCCTGAAAGACTGAGAACTGGAAATTACCTGTTTGGCTTTTATAACATTGTATTACTAGAAAAAAAGAATTAAATATCCTTTATGTTCAAACGGGGCATTAACATCTATGTTGGAATATATTTCATCTACTTTACAGGTAGAAGGAGTACCTGAGGAGCACCTTAAGGATTTTTGAAGGAAATTTGCAAGAAAATAATCATTAATGGCTTGCTTGTTTTGAATATAGCTTATTTTGTGTGAAAAGTCAGAGGAAGAAAATGTAATTAATAAAGCACTTGGGAATCTGTAGGATCAGAGGCAGTACTTGCTCATGTGGAAACTACTTCCTTTCAAGAAGAAAATATCTTCTCAGTAGATGCAGTCTAAAGGGTGCATCTTCAGACACTGAATGCAGTTTTTTACTCCTCCAGCTGGGCCCTGGTCAAATGGCACTTTGCCATTTCTGAGAAGGATGGGATTGATCCTGTTCCCGCTGAATTCAGCTGCTGTGGGCAGGAGGACCTGGGGGAAGATTTAAATCAACTTTGGTAGGAGCAAAAAATACAAGTGATGATCATTCTATCAGAGATGAGGGAATACACTTCATTTCCCTTTTGTAACTGACACAGTGTTATGACTTTCTGCATTGAAGGCACATTCTCCTTTGTCTGGCTCTTCATTTTCCCTCAACTCTACAGTCTCTCCCATACACTTACTTTAACAATCTGGTAAATTAATTCTCATAAATATTGTAATTACCATGTCATTATCTAGCACGGATCATTATTCTCTGCCAAACATAGTCCACTGGGTACTTTCTGGCCTGTGCTCCCATTACAGGTGCTACCTGCACCACAATGACACTGTCTATAAATTAGGAATAACTGTATTAATTTACCTCACARAAACATGAAAGATCCAGCTAATTGRAAGTGCACTGAAGCTGAAAAACTTTGTTGTGCATTGTTACAGGAAGGATGTCTTGAAAGAAAATACAGAATAATAGGACTGTCTAGGGTAGAAAGTTAATATTTTAAGTAGCTATTAACAGCCAGGMATTAAACACAAAATACATGGATTATTTGTTATTTGACAATTACTATTTTTTCTAGTTATACCAGAAGTAATAGAATTAAGAGTAATTAATTATGAGATTTAAGGACTAATCTTCCCACAACATAGCATATTGCAGGACAGTTAAAACGGATCAAAGGTAACACCTTCTTAGAGGATGTGTGAATCAGTAACAAAGCCGTGAGGAAAAAAGCCTGTCTGGGGTCTGCATCACACTCAGGCACTTTCACATTCAGGCACAAAAGAAGCATGCCCTTCACACTGCTCYAACTCCACAAGAGATTTGAGGAAAACCCAAAAGAACAGGAAAGAATTATTTTCTCCCTTTTGCTGCCTCCCATCCTTGTGTACAGCACCCCAGGCACAGCTCTCTTGGATTGTCCTCGGTTCCTGTGGGATGGCACTGAGGATCTTCTGCATCCACACAGCCTCACCTGCAGCTGGCCACGAGATCAGAGGGTCTGTAAGTTCTTCGTGTCTAGCAATGACAGCTACCAGGAAAGCAAGATCTTACTTAGCTTCATTTGTGCTACTGTCACAACTTCCCATCTTGGAAGGACTAGCTGATCTAAAGCTCACCAATTTCTGCTGGCGTGTTTTGAGGTACAATTTGGCTGAGGGAGAATTTTATATAGTTCAAAATTCACTAAAATAAACAGTGCAAAAAGCACTGAGACTGTTTTCCCAAAAAAGTCGAATTTTGCCAGCAAAATGATCCTGGAATRGGTCACTTTGAGACTTCCAGTCAAGCCACCTCAAAGGGTCAATCATAGTGTTTCATAGAAGGAGCTTGTAATTTCATTACTATTAGAATACAACACAAAATCTCCCCAACAATTCAACCTCCCCCAAGCAAATCACATACGTATTTCCTTCCTACAAATATAGAGCCTGTGACTTTTGGATTTCTTAATCTCCTGTGAAAATCCTTGGAGAGAARAAGCTGAGATGGTTATGGCAACAAATGGGGATCCACAGAGGCTGGATTTCACCTGGAGCTCTGCCACAGACTTGGCCTGAACTCAGCACAAGTACCTTAATCTCTGTGCCCCTATYTCCTCACACAGTTCTTCCCCATCAAATTTCCTCATTAAGGTTTTCAGTACTCACAGAACAGGACAGCTGTGAATCTTGACCAAATAAGCTAACTCCAGCATTTAAYTTGGACATGTGCATTGGGATTGCAGCAATTTTGATTTATACAATCCTATTTCATTTCTCAAGGATATCTTGAGGCAGAAGAGAATTTGGAGGTAACTGAGTTGCCAAACCTGTGTGCTTATTGTGGACTGCAGTTTCTTTACCAGTGCAGTTTTATTTTAGAATCAGGTGTTACTTTCCTTTTATAAACTAGAGAAGTTACAAAATTATCTCTATTTGATAGAAGCTACAGTGAAACCACGCTGGCTGATCAGCCCCACAGGCARCCAGCCAGTTCCAATTTCTCAGCTGTAAACTCTCAGACAGTGGTTGGAACTGCCAGAATAATTCTGCTTCCTTTTACATGCATTTCAAGAGTCAACTTCTGCATATTCTTTATTACTTAACTTCCACAGCAGAGTGAGTATTCAGAAGTTAAATGTTACTAAACTAAGAATGGCATTCCTGCTCCCCTGCTGACCCAACTGTCTTCCATGGTGAGCCTGCAAGGACCAGGTTCCCTCTGCCTGTACATGACTTTATCTTCCCCAGTCAGAAATGTGTATCCAGGCAGGACAGATTTCCTGCAGGCAGGCAGACAATCTTGCATCTTTCCCYATTGCCTTTGCAGCAGTAGAGCAGCGTTGCTATGTTGCCCTGCCTTTCCATAAGACGTGTAACAATGGAACGGGTGCTTACACCTGCCACCTCATCTCAGTTTTCTTCTGAATATGCTTTGGGAATGGCTCAAAAGAGAAATAGCCACTATTTCCACCCACATCCACCTGTCTTGCTTATCTKTTGTTCTCCATTAACTCCTTTTGAGGAGCCACCAAGAAACAACTGCAGAAATCTTGGTTAAATCTCTCCTGGTTCACRTGCTGTTCCCAGAGTACACATCCCACCCCTCCAGGTGCCAGGCCAGCAAAAGGGAACAGGAATGTATCAGAGAAACTGTTTTGGAAGAAGGCACTGCCACATATGGCAGAGCATAACAAATTCACTGAGCAGGTGGATCCTGCTTCCTGACAGCCATTTTACTTTCACTCTTCACTGCTGTACAGTATTTGAGTGATAAAAGCCTATTTTATAAATAAATCCATTTCATCCTTTTCATGTCTCCAAAAATGGTGTGTCCTTTTTACAAAATATTTCTCCAGTTTAATGAAATGAATGGAAATGAGCAGTTGCTGGCATTTGTCCTGTTTGCATTATGGAGTCAGKCTCCTGCTGAAGGTCTAGAGACCCAGCTGTGCCCTTGGCAGTATCACAAACACACYGAGTGACTTTGATCAAGTCTAATCAAATCTCAGATTTTTTTTTTTAATATCAATATTGCTTTGTCCTCTTCTATAAAGCTATATTTTACTTAAATTTTAGCAGTACATTCCAAGGTATCATTTCCCCCATTTTACAGCTGGGGGAATTGTGGTACAAATAAGAGAAATTATTTTTCCCAAAGTCTAATACAGTGGTCTGCAGACCACACTGACTGCCTGCAGAAATGCTGAAGCACAGCTGGCATCCCAGCTTTGCAGAGACACGTCACAGTTGTGTGTTCTTAAGCACATCTTGTGTGAACAACCACAACACAGCTTCRCTTGTGCCTGGTGTCACACACCTGAGAAAACTGCCTGAGAACGGGAAGAGAAAACATCCCAGCAAGTCGGACTAATTACTATGTTTGAAGARCTAATAAGTGGTTGAATAGCACAAATATTTTAACCGCTGCTTTACAAAAATAAAAAAGCAGAAGTCTTGCCTGAGAGATTTTAAGAATATATAAAAACCTACAGACTTCAGTATCATTTTCCAGAAGAAGGAACAAAAAATATTTTCAAATACATTTTTCCCAGTTTTCAGAATTTCTTAGAACCTTGGAATTTCTTTCCAGTGCTCTTGCAGCCTAAACAAGAAGAATCACACAACCAYTAGAGCACCATATACATTAGCAATCTGTTTTTATCCRCATTTCTCAAMAACAGCACACAATAAATCAGAGCTTTGCAGTGTAATCTTACTTTTCCAATTGCTATTTACATCTCTGAAGTATGTCTACAACAGATAACAATCCAAGTATAAATTCACATTTAACTTTTTCCCAGAAAAAAAAAGGTAAAAAAAAAAAGCTGTCCAACCAACATCTGCCTAGCATGTCTRACAAACCACAGGCTGCATATGAGAGAGAGGAAAATTTAAATAAAATCTGGGCAGATCATCTCCAAGAGTCCATGGAGAGTTGCATTACGATCTATTGAGCTTTGCCCCATTTCCATATCAATTATTATATCATTTGGGGCATTAAGTAGATAATACTGTTTACACAACTTTCTGAAATAACTAAAGAAGCCCATGAGGATGCCTAGTTACTTATGAAACATATGCAGACAAGATGCTCTCTGTGCAAYGCAGCATCTTGTTTACAGGGAATCCTGTGATCTTTATCACATACTTGTTATTAACTCCTGTTATCTGCTGCATCACTGGAGGATAATATTCGCTTTCCTGAATCTTAATAAGGCTAAATACATTTATTGGATTCAACAGATTTGTACAATCAGCATGGGAGTCGAGTTCAGGACACAAGATGAAATCTAGGTTTCATGGCTCAGACAGCAGCTGAGCAAATCAAATCAAGAATGTTTATTTTTTTAGTAGATCAAAGGCAGGAGCAAGATGTGTTGAAAAACTAAACACAGTTGTAATGGTGTAAAATACTGAGCGTTAATTCCCATCTGGGTGAGGTGAGAACCCCAAAGAACCAACCTATTTACATTAACAACACATTACAACATATGTTCATCACACTTTGTGAATATATCCATGCTCTATAGATACACAAGACACAAATTTTCATGTCAGACCCATAAAAGCTGAGAGTAGCTGCACTGAAATAAATGAAGTTATAATGTAGTTGAGAGCAATGAGTTCCGCTGTCTGTACTAACTTGTGCACAATCTTTAGTCAGTGGATCTGTGTATGACTGATGAGTGGAAACGGCAAACAAATTTGAATATTTTGATGCTTAATAAATGTTTGCCAAATGTTTAAGAAATTTGGATCAAAGCTACTTTTACAAGCACCACATGGCTATATATATATATATACACAGAGAGACTGTCATAATTTTAAAGATACAAACTTCTTTTATTAGAAACAGAAATATATATGTAAGTCTGTGATTATTCAGAATGATGCAGAAATAGAGAGGAACTTTCACATACTAATCTCTCTAAACGAGTGTAATTTAAATATTTTTCGTTCCAGACGGTCGAGACTAACTGTGACAACTGATAGGAAATCCTAAAGAATTTTACTGAAAATATGGGATTGAAATCCCACTTTTGTTTCTTTTTAGCAGTGATTCTGAAGGCTTTGCGTACCCTGGCAGGTGCCACTAGATGGAGCCGCAGCATTTTCAGGAGCTCGGGACCCCGCCAACTCAAGGGAATGGAACAGAAAACTTTTTTTAATAACTTGATTTTTTTTTTTTTTTACGTCTACTCTAAAGTCTAACATTTAAATTTTAATATGATTAAACTAAATATATATCCCTCCACTCCATTGTGG